CTTGGCAGAGAAAACAACACGTGTGTTAGTGGCAAAGGAACAATGTCGAACTGCGGTAGAAACCTGCTTAGCAAACCTATCACTGATACTACCTAGCCAAGGAAGGCGTAGGTACACAGGACGTCTTTTTACTATAGCAGGTTTGACTTTGTTGAATTCAGCAATTTTATTCTTAATAATTACTTGAACAATGCCCAATGGGTAGGCATTGTTGCAGAGAGTAGAAATAATAAACCTAAGTTCACCCTCCAACTTAATTTCAGAACAGATCATAAGAGCCCTATAGGTAAGGGTATTAATTAAATTAATTTTGCGTTTCATGGGACAAAAAGAATCCCAACGGGTATACAAACCAATAAACGTCGGTTTACGGTAAACAGAAGTAATAAAACCCGACGCACATCTGACCAGCACATCAAGAAATGGAAGAGACGAATCAACCTCCTATATATATATATATATATATATATATATATATATATATATATATATATATATATATATTTTAAAATTTTTTGAATATAATTTTATATGTGTTTATTGTTATTTTAAAGTTTTGACTTTTCTAATTGTTGTGGTGTCTTCCCTCTAATGAGGCTATTGTGGACTCTTCCACTTACTATAAAGTTAGTAGAGAAAGAAAACCTCGGGAGAAAACAGTGATATAAACTGAACGCTGGTCAACCGACATCCACTCCCAAGTTGTGTAACACTCTTCTGTTGTATTTACTGTTCAATACATTATTTATCTGCAACGTCTTGTTTTGTTATTTCTTAACCATTTACTTGGTCACAACACTAATATTTTAATGGCCGACGTAAGCTCGAGTACAATAACCTAAGGTGAGTTTTAGTTTTGTAAATAATGTTTGAAAAAAACCGACATATCTTCAAATATGACTTAACTCGAAACGACCGAAGCCGAGGTATCACTGTATTTGCTTTTTATATATATATATATTTAGACCCACGGTTTATTTCTGTGTTAAAGTCTCCAGATGCCTTGTTCATATTCTTTCTATTTTACCATTTTTTATTTGTTATTCAGAATAAATAAGTCTTAACTATATATTTATTCCTTTTTCTATTTTTAACCTTTTGGTCATTAAAACTTGCTGAACAGGACATCGTCTTCAGAGTTTTAATTACCTTACCGCGTTTTTCTGGTTGTCTTGAAGTACGCATGCGTGCGGCGATGGACGCGTATTCGGGAGGCAGAACAATCATAATATAAAAATCCCCACGTTTTTATTATTGCTACTTAACTTTTAAAATCCTATAAGCCGAATTGTAATGAAGAAATTTCAAGAACGCTTGATAAAGAAAACGCAGACGTTTAAAATGCAGTACAGATTGTGAATGAACAGGACAGTTTGTCATGAAAGAAAATGGTCGTAGTAATCCAGCGCCCAGCTCCGCAAACGGTCATTAATTGAATCTTGATTAGAAATCTTGCTGAGAATCGACTCCAGCATAAGCGAATGAAAGAACAATGGAGGACAAGTTTTTGACGAAGGAAATGAGGGTTGTTGGAATAGAACATAGAGTCAAAAAAATAAAATGGCTGAGAACGATTGAGAGACAGAGAAAAATGAAACAGAATGAAGTCGTCTTTGGGGAAATCTTCACCGTAGGGCTTTTGGCAATCGCTTATCTTCTGGTTAATTGACGCAAGGAGATAAAGTCTTTGAACTTCGAGTGAACGTGTGATTGACTGCTTAAAATGGCACCAATGGGTCCGATGTTATAAATTGCCCAGAGAGTAACATACTTGAATGAACAGGTATACAGATGAATCAAAGTTTCTTATTCCTGTTCAGTAATAATCCATTGGCACCTATATTCCCTTCATTCCTTCATTCTTTGTTTTATTCTTTCGTTCATTCAGCCATTAAATAATTTACTATTCTCTGAGCAGACGAGAATTATCCTGAGCGCCATATTGTTTGGCACACGGGAATTGATTAATTTGTTTTCTTCTACGGCGTATCAAACCTTTTTGGATTATTTAAAGCCGAGTATATATTTCGGATTGTATGAGATTGCTTACAGTTCAGCTGTTTTCAAGCGGTATCCCATCTAAGTACAGACCGAGTCGACGCCGTTCAATTTCGGTGATCGAACAAGAACTGGTGTTTTTAACGTGGCACACGGGAAAGCGTACGAGTTAATCTGTCAAATATATTATTACTTACGAAGATTGCTGTAGTGTGATTCATCATCATCATCATCATCATCATCATCATCATCATCATCAGACCCATGATCGGGTGTGGTCCTAGGGTCGATGCGCAGCTGAAAAACTTACCGGTTCCCTCCTCATGCCCGTCGTGAAAGCCAGAAAACTATTCATCTATGCGTAGAGTGTTCTGGCCAAATATATCTGATGGAGCCCATGCCTTTCCAGCTCCGACCATTCCCACTGTTAAATAAGCTGATGTTGATAGTGGTAGAGAGATGTTTAATATACAAGGCCTCTCTCATAGCAAAATGTTTCCGGTAATGTGATTTATATAGAATTTTAGTGTTTTCGACCAGAATATTTCTTAAGGATTCTTGTAAATTGTGAATAGCTAGATGTTTTTTTTTTATAGAATTTTAGTCAGATAAGTGACATGTGAGGTTTCTACTGAAGGAGGTGGCAGTATGTACGATATAGGTAATTGATTTATGAAAAGAAACAGTCTTGCAGTGGGGAGTGAAATTTATATATGATATATATTGGTCATCACTAGTTTATGTATTAAGGGGTTATTTTGATTAGCGAGGTTGTATATTAATAAAATTTATGTATATTAATAAAATACTTTTCGATAATGACAATAAAATCTAACGAATTTTTTCGATCTTATCAGGTTATATTAGTAATAACACCTCGTCTAAAAGGCACAGGTAGAAAGAACGCATAGTGGCTGAAATATTCTGAAAGAAACAATAAATACAAGGAAATCATTTCGAATAACTAATCATTTTTTTAATGTTACAGATACATTTCAGCCACGTGCAAATTGTTTTTGTCTCATAGTTTTCATTTGCATACATTTCACATGAAGGCATCGGCCTTTTTAAACAAACGAGAATAGGATGTTAATATGACCTGTAAGTTTCCAATATATATTTCTATGTTCCGTATCCATTCAAGTATTAGGCGATCATGGCTCTCCACAATTTCCTGTCCTTTATAGCACTTAACGTTCTGGGTAAGGCGATAAACTACATCGTACAGCAAGGCCTCTGATGAGGAGATTTTGAGTAGCTTGGAATAATCTAATTGTTGGTGTTCCCAGACCCGTGTAGGTAGCACCTGTTATGGGGGGGGAGGGTTCCAGCCATGGGCTAATAGTTGACCTCTAAACTGGAGTCGAAACACAATGAAAGTGTAAAAATAAGTTTTAATACCAACAATGAATGTTTGAAGAAAAAAATATTACCAGTAATATATATTTGTGAAAAAAAAAATATTATCAACAATAAAAATCTTGTCGGCATTAAATGGCCCATAGAGGTATACGCTGTAAAACAAACCAAACGAAACCTATAGCTCTCAATAAATTTTGATTTTTGTTATTTTTTCTGAACCTTGTTCAGTCATCCATTTACTCAAGCTCAAGTAGGTAATGTGTTGTTTTTCTCTGCACCCCACCCTTGCCTACAATCTACCTTGTGAGTATTAAATTTTCCAAGCCCTCTTTCCTCATTATGTGCCCTAGAAATATCAACTGTCTCTTCCTGATGTTAAGTATAAGTTTCCATTTGTTTCCATTTTCTCTAAAACTTCGTCGTTGCTCACATGTTCGGTCCATGCTATCCTCCGCATCCTTCTGTAGAAACATCTTTCTCTTACTACAAATCTCCTCTTCATCTTTGAGTGGATCGTCCAACATTCACTAACATATAAGAGGACAGATATCACGTAACAGTTTACGTAACACTTTTCTTTGTTTGTAACGAAATTTTTCTGTTTCTTGATATTCTTCTTAGCTTTCGGAATGAATCTTTGGCCATCCCAATCCGCCTTCGGACTTCACACTTTCCACCCTAATTTTCATATATTCTAAAGAGGATTTCGCCTCTTTGAGGAGATTGTCCTCTATTCGCTGCCATATCACAGTTCTGAGAAGATATATTATCAGTTGTAGGACGTCTTCATCGCAGTTTTAGGATACGTTTACACAGTAATAATATCACATAATACTTCAGTACTCTTTTTTTTGTTTCCAATATGCATTACCAATATGACCCTTGCCGAGTAAATATGGTTTGGAATCATCAAAATCGGTTGATAAAACGTCCATGGAATTCTTAATGAATTCCCTGAAAGCCACAATCTCTGGTGTCATGTTTCCCACTCGCATTGCAACTTTGGCAAATCGTCCGAGTTATTGATTATGTTTCTTGTCACCATTATTTGAAAATTCTCTCCTCAGGTCTTGGACAAGAATTTTAAAATATTTCCCAAATTTTAAAATATTCCTTCTATATTCAATAGATATGATTTTACTGTCTTCATAAGATTTAATGTAGTTTTACTGTGTTATTTGCAAAGCTTAGCTTATTCCGGATAGCGTAGTCAGAACACAAATCTAGCATAATAAAAATCACGAGGAGGATCGAACCCGCAATAGCCAAGTAGTCTGCAGGATATTCTTTTTTGACCTTCACTACGGGAGGCATCCTATTTATTTCCTAGACATATGTATTTGTAGCACATGTAGAAATACTTGTGGAGTAAGTATGTGACTCACGTAAAAATAGATTTTGCACTCAGTTAAAGGGTGCGTCAGAGAAGCAGGGTGTATCAGCGGGTCGACCTGGAAGGTTAACCTCCTCGCCACTAGGTGCAGATTTTGCCTAATTAAATGTCAGTGGCGGCGCACTGCTTTTGAATATGTGGTCGGCCTCACAAATCCCTGATGGCGGTCGGAGATCCCAACGGCCGAAATAATAAAAAATGTAATAATAAAAAAAGATGAAAATGAGTGCAAATGTAAATAAAGAACATAATAAGAAAGAGAGAGAGAGAGAGAGAGAGAGAGAGAGAGAGAGAGAGAGAGAGAAGGAGGGAGAGAAACAAAGAAAGAAAGAAAGAAAGAGAAAAAAGAGAGAGGGAGAGAGATAAAGAAAGAGCAAAAGAGAAAGAAAGAATGAAAGAAAGAGAGAAGGAGAGGGAAGATAAGAAAATAATTTTAAAAAATTGAGGAAAAGAGTTCGAATGTAAATAATGTAAATAAAGAACCTACTAAAAGCAAGAGAGAGAAAGAAAAAGAGAGAGGGGAGAGAGAAAGAAGGAGAGATAGAAGGAGAGAGAAAGAGAGAGAGAGAGTAAGAAACAGAGAGAGAAAGAAAGAAAAAGGGAAACATAGAAAGAGAGAGCGGGAAAGAAAGAAAGGGAGAAAGAGAATGATAGAGAGAGAGAGAGAGTGAAAGAGAAAGATTGAAGAAAATAAGAAACTCTCGCGGAAAATACAGAAAGTCTTGAAGTCAACAGATTAAGGAATCCTGAAAGGTGACAGCGAGAATTAGATGAAGAAATTGCGCCTAGAATTAATTACACGAAATACAGAAGTTGGGGTTAACAGAGATAGCAACACATTTTCTGGACATCAGCATTTTATGAATTAGTCGATAGACCGTTAGCTCATTTGTGCAGGAATCTTAGTTTCTTCTTGAAAATGACCGGCGTCGGTGCCTTCATAACATAAGCAAAAAGTTCCACCTCTTAATCTCAGAGCAAAGATGCTGGATCATTTTTGATGGATGCTTTCAAGACTTGTTTTAGCAACTTGTGTGAGTGATGATCCTGTCCGAGGAAGCAAAGAAATTTACGTACATTTTATAAGAAAACGTTCAGCATTTTGTACATTTCACACAAATCGGTGAATTGATGGCTTGACTGACAGAATAGCTCATTAATTTTATCTGTAGCTAAAGCAACTACGCTGGACTGATATCAATAAGTTATCTTTTTTGTAGTTTGGGCTCCAAATAACAGTCTCATATTCGAGTAATGCTTGAATATAGTGTATAGCAGGCGTCTGCAATCGTTTGTGTTCACTAGATCCGGGGTCGGCAGTCTACGGCACGCGCGCCACACGTGGCCCTCCAAGCAATTTCTATTGCCATGCAGCCGCAAATGACATAACGAAGTCCGAACCAATAACTACTACAACGCAAAGAAGATATTTAGCTGTTTCAATTTTAATATATACTAAAGTATATATACAATACATTACTATATAAAATATATTGTAGAACAGGTATATTGACCTTGACTTGTATAAAAATAGGTATGCTGTTCAAACCAATAACTACTACAACGCAAAGAATATATTTAGCAGTTTTAATTTTAATATATACTAAAGCATATATACTATATATTACTATTTAAAATATATTGTAGAACAGGTATATTAACCTTGGCGTATAAAAATAAGTATGCTGTTGGGACAGTGAATGATTTTAAAACCCTAAGTCGGCACTTAGCAAAATTGTATAGTGTATAACTTAGTAGTGTATAGTTTTTTTTTTTTTTTTTTACTGTTTTGGGATTAATATTCGCAAATGAATATTTCATAACATCTATTCTTTGATTACCTTTCTTTACAATTTCAGAAATATGTGACTTTGGAGATGAACTACGCGAAACTACAATAACCACATCCCAATACCCAAATCTCTTTGTTCTTTTACTTGATGAAGGGAATCTCCATCAAAGTGAGTATATGTATTTCAAATTGTCTCTGATATTAACAACAACACATTTTCTCGAAATCAATTTTAGATTTCATAACGTACTCCAAGCCGAAATTGAAATTAAATAATTTTCAAATAATGAGCAGTCTTCTTTGTTATTAATACGATATAGTTTAGTGTCATCGGCAAATAACTTTGATCAGATCAGATACATCAATCAAGAACTGGACTGTCCTCAAAATGGAGATTTGTGGATGTTTTACTCATGTGAGTCCATGAAGATTTCATGCCACTTTTACAACGCTAAATATTTTTTCGTCAGTTCATCGATAGGAATGAGAAATACAGACATTACTGTCACAAGAGTGCCTGACTGTACAGAACCAGCATCATGTCTTCGTAATTGGAACAGTAACCAAAGGAATTCCAATTGAAAACATTTCAAAGAGGACATCAGAAGATCATAATTATAGCGTTTCGTTTGATTCAATTGGCGCATGAATATCGGGTGTAGCCCGTCGTAGGCTTTATTTCTTTCGCAATATCAGGTTAAATCTATCATCGCACCAGAAAGATGGATCCGACAAGAAAGAGTCCCAGTTATATGCACGGTATTTTGTAGTTTTCTAAAATGGCAACTGATATTAGATTGCACGGTCATGATAATTACATTCTTCAGATTGTGGCGACAGGTTAGATCAGATCCTTAGAACGAATAATGTTTATGCCTAGATATATGGTAATGATAATAGTAATATTAGCCGTTTCCCTATAAGGAAACATTTGACATTCATTGATCGAGCAGCTAGTACCGCTTTCGGTTAAAATTTATAAAAGAGGTTTTCTAAGTCCATTAGTTGTTACCAAACTGTCCAGTATTGATTGGGGTTATAATTTTTTTTTTTGAGTTACATGTGATATCCATTTTAGATATTGCAGCTGTTGAAAGTCCTCAAATGAGATAGTTTCTACTATTACAGTTCTTTATGGTTCTGTGACACCAGCCTGCAAGATTCTAAGAAGTGTTGTCCTCACCAAAACGCATAGGCTTCATTCACTTAAAGCAATTTTTAACCATTGATGTTAGAAAGCTGCTGTATATAGCTCACAGTTTAGATATTTCTGATCAGGTTTAACACCATGCATGATATCCACATATCGATCAAACGAGCTTGATGTTTTGGTTTCGTAGCAACTTGCGGTGTTGAGCGAAACTACTTCTAACGCATCTTAATCTATGTTTAATTTCTTTTTCGCTTATACTTAATTTATTAAAATGGATTCATACACCGAGGGTATCTGAGGCGTTTCGTATTTACCAATTCCACAGCATGAATTTTTATGATAGTCTCAGGCATCTCTGCTTTCATTCTAATTCCAGATAATAGTTTCTGCTTTGGTATAAAATGTTCCAAGATCTGTCTATATTTAGGTATTATGTACATGATCTGTCTATATTGAGGTATTATGTACATTATTTACATTATTCGGACTATTGTCCTCATCTTTGTCGCCATATTTATTACAACGCTTCGGCCGTCTTCAGGTGGATGGAATGTCCAACTGAACCCTTTATTTAACTCACTGGGGTGGACTGTTCTAGTTCCACGTACCATGTTTAATGGATGTCAGTCATCAGTTATCTCCTGTTAATTCCCCTCTCCAAGTTCTCCACTGCCTTAACCGGGCATTGAACCCACACTCTTTGGGTCCAGTCACTGGATCTAACCAACGCCTTTATCCATTGTGCATGTGAACTTGGAGAGGGGAATTAACAGGAGATAACTGATAAATGAGATCCATTAAACATGGCACGTGGAACTAGAACAGTCTACCCCAGTGATCGCAATTTCTATGATACATTTCTTGATTGAATAGTGACTTGTAATGAGAAATGGATCGTCTATGACAATTGCAAATGATCGGCTAAATGGCTTGATCCTGACGAAGTTCACAAACATGATTTTACTAGAAGAATGCTTGGCAAATGATTTCACTATAGAAATAAATTGCAAATGAATTTTACTGTAGGAATTTTTTGAAAATGATTTTACTAGGGGAGCATTGGAAATTAATTTACTATAGGAATACATTGAAAATGATTTTACTATAGGAATGCATTGAAAGTGATTTTATTATAGTAATGCATTGAAAGTGATTTTACTATAGGAATGCATTACAAATGATTTTACTCTGGGAATGTTTTGGAAGTGATTTTACTTTAGGGTGCATTGGAAATTAATTTACTATAGGAATACATTGAAAATGATTTTACTATAGGAATAAATTGAAAAATATTTTACTATAGGAATGTATTGAAAGTGATTTTATTTCAGGAATGCATTGCAAATGATTTTTTTACTATAGGAATGTCTTGAAAGTGATTTTACTTTAGGGTGCATTGGAAATTAATTTACTATAGGAATACATTGAAAATGATTTTACTATAGGAATGCATTGCAAAATGATTTTACTATAGGAATAAATTGCAAAGGAATTTTACTGTAGGAATGTTTTGAAAGTGATTTTACTTTAGGGTGCATTGAAAATGATCTTACTATAAAAATGCATTGAAAGTGATTTTACTATATGACCGCATCGTAAATTCATTTACTATAGGATTTCACTGCAAATGCTATAGGACTACCTTGCAAATGATTTTACTATGGAACCGCATTGCAAATGAATTCACTATACAGATGCCCTGAAGTGATTTTAGTATAGGAATGCGTTGAAAATGATTTAGCGAGCGTCAGAGTCCAGAACGTCTCTATTTATTCTTTCAAGGAATGCACATCCCTCATTCTAATTTTCTTGAGAGTCCGTATCTGCACAGAATCGTATCAGAAACATAAATAAAACAATGTTTAATGAATATGAATTTAATCCAATATTTATATTACTTCAAACGTTGGTGGATGCCCGCATTTGAGTAAACGCCATGTTTTCTATCGGTGTGTATTACGCCTACCGGATCGGGCAGAAGAGAAAATTTAATGATAATAACTTCAGCTTGAGAATTTTTCTCGACCGAATCAGTCTCGTTTGCTCATGGAATGTCGTTGTCACATCTGAATTGGTCCTCCTGCTATGATCCATCTGCTGTCTAGTTAGTTATTGATATGTCCCGGAAGTAGCAAAGTGGTTTTGGATTACTGTAACCGAGTAGGACAAATCTAGCAGGTAACCGTAATGAACTGGTCCTCGTCGTAGCGGTAGGCAATAGGCGTAGGCAATAGGCGCAGTCAATAGGCGTCGTCTTGTACCTCCACATCAGTTTGTATTTATGGCTGACACCAGCCAATCATATTTCTGTGAGTGGGAACCCAGAGGCGGAACTAAGCTTTCCTGTAATTTTTCCCATAGTTCTTTTCATGGCAACTTGATACTCTTTTCACTATGCTACCGCAACTTTAGTACCAAATTTGGACGTAGTTCTAGGCTTCTAGGTTTCATTATTTTACTGTTAAAATTGCGAAATCTAACCATAAGGTCAAATAGTTTCTGTCATGACCGTAAGATCAAATAGTTTCTAGTATGACCTTAAGGTCTATTAGTTTCTCGCATGACCGTAAGGTCAAATAGTTTCTGTCATGACCGTAAGGTCAAATTGTTTCTCGCATGACCGTAAGATCAAATATTTTCTCTCATGAGCCTAAGATCAAAAAGTTTCTCTCATGACCGTAAGGTCAAATAGTTTCTTCTCTCGATCAGCGGCGTGTCCGCAAAACTTTAAAGCCGGTCAAAAGATAAGTTAACTGAACTTTATTAATTTACTGAATATTTTCGATCTAGTTCTATACTGAACGCATTCTTCCAAAATTTTGGTTGCACTGTAATACGTTAAATTCGAGCAATTTGAGGTAATTCCATACGCGTTACTGATTTGTATTATTATTATATATATATATATATATATATATATACATATATATATATATATATATATATATATATGTATGTGTGTGTGTGTGTATATATATATATACACACACACACACATATATATATATATATATATATATATATATATATATATATATATATATAAAATCGTGAAGACAGAGATAGATATGAAATTATGCAGTGAGATAGAATGAAGATATTTCGAATAGTAAATGTCCATCTGTAATAATATTAGAATGTTAAAGATGATACTTTTGTGGTTGCATTCTTCGAGGCATTACCCATAATTCCTCAGCAGCTTGAGCTTCAGAAAGAAATGGCTGCTTATTTCAGCCATTCTAATTGCTTCCCCAACAGCAAATATGCTTATCGGAGATAGAAATAAGCTTGTTCTACGAGAGGCGGGAAGATGTGGCAGGCAGTGTAGGGAATGCATCGTTTCACTCTGCAACATCTTCTCTTCCTTGTTCCTGCTTCCCTGAAGCGTGTCAGTTAAGTGTTAAGTAATTGGCATTGGCACTGACAGGATAGATAGATGTGAAAAACTGACACAGATAGATAGATAGATAGATAGATAGATAGATAGATAGATAGATAGATAGATGGGTGAAATGGTGAGTTAGATAGATAGATAGATAGATAGATAGGTGAAAAGAGGTGATAGATAGATAGATAGATAGATAGATAGATAGATAGATAGATAGATAGATAGATAGATAGATAAATATATGAAAAGAGGTGATAGATAGATAGATAGATAGTTAGATAGATGAAAAGGTGAAATGATAGATAGTTGAAATGATAGATAGATAGATAGATAGATAGATAGATAGATAGATAGATAGAAAAGAGGAGATAGATAGGTGAAAAGAGGTGATAGATAGAAAGGTAAAAAGGGGAGATAGATAGATAAATATATGAAAAGAGGTGATAGATAGATAGATAGATAGATAGATAGATAGATGGGTGAAATGATGAGATAGATAGATAGATAGATAGATAGATAGATAGATAGATGGGTGAAATGATGAGATAGATATATAGATAGATAGGTGAAAAGAGGAGATAGATAGATAGATAGATAGATAGATAGATAGATTGATAGATAGATGGGTGAAATGATGAGATAGATATATAGATAGATAGGTGAAAAGAGGAGATAGATAGATAGATAGATGGGTGAAATGATGAGATAGATATATAGATAGATAGGTGAAAAGAGAGATAGATAGATAGATAGATAGATAGATGAAAAATGAGGAGATAGATAGATAGATAGATAGATAGATAGATAGATAGATAGATAGATAGATAGATAGATAATATCAATAACATATATACTGGGCTAACCCTATATAAGAAGACTGGGATATATATGTAGAGTATGGGATAGATATGAACAGAGCGAGATCGATATGAAAGACAGACAAAAAAATAGATATAAACAGAATGAGATAGATAGACAGATAATGACACACTGATATATATACATACATACATACATATATATATATATATATATATATATATATATATATATATATATATATATATATATATATATATATATATATATATATATATATATATATATATATATATATATATATATATATATATGTATATTATAATAAGAAGAAAGAACAGTAAGATCTATAATCCGGTGTTCTTATTGATATTTTTGTTTTACAATGTAAATTTACAGATCATAAATATTTCTAAGTATCCTTGAAAACAAACAGTTATGAATTGTATATATATATATATATATATATATATATATATATATATATATATATATATATATATTTTTGAACAATAAGAAAATTAAAAATTAAAAAATTAAAGTCATTAGACACACTGGGTTGTAGATTAATATTCTTTCGTTTTTTTATTATTATTATTATTATTCCATGTAGATATATATATATATGTTCTTTAAAGAACACTACCTGAACATCACCAGTAACGCTAAAGTGATAATCTTTTTTGATGTAACCTTGGGACTATCTAGTGAACTTTATAAACCATTTGGTAAAGATTTATACAACCATAGACACATCCAAAATCTAATCATCATCCTAGAATACTAAATAATTTCCATAAATCGGTCCAGTTCATGAACTCGGGGTTAATTTTATGATTGCTTTATTTTAGGGCTTCTACATATTTGCTTTCCTGCTTCTCGAAAATATCCTTCTTACTAGAGTTGGTAGACATTCTAAATTGAACCGATTTCAATCATACACCAACTCTAAAAAAGATTTTGGACTAAAACAACACCAAAGTTTACTGCAGTCGTGCTAAAAACGTCGACCAATGTATCTCACAGCACAGCAATGTTACACTAAACAAAGACTTAACCAATCTATAGGACAAACACCCCAACAGCAAAGGACTACAACTGTCGAAAAAGCAAAATCTGCCCATGAAGCGGCAAATGCATGAACAAAGGTTTAGACTATAAAGCTAACATCAAATACGATGGCGAGATCAAATTTTATTTGGGCTCTACTGAAAACCATTGGAAATCATGTTTCTACCATCACCAAATGACACAAGTCAATATTAGATACAGTAACATCACTGCTCTCTAAATTTTTCTGTAAAATAAAAAAATAAATAGAAGCCTGGGATTGCGGAACGAAAGCTAAAACCTTCAGCTGGTAAAGGCGATAAATGTAGCTTATGTCTTTCTGAGAAGTTAATGGTCCTAAGAAATTTAGGCACCACTAATTTGTTAAACAAAAGAAGTGAATTAATGAGCATTGCACATATAGAATGAAATAATACTCAAGCACGTTGACCTAGATTAATGTCGTTTTCTCAGTTTCATATTTTCAAAACAACGTCCGTTAATATCTCCTTTAAACAAAAATTAGACTTTCTAATTTTTATTTTCAGCTTTAAGCGTAAGTCTGAGACTAAATCTAAATTCAAAATTAGATTATAGTGCAATTAAACATTTAACAACAGTAGTAATTCATTGACACAATACGAACTTGCGAGACGCGAAAATATTAACCAAAATTGTAAACAAACAGTGCCTAAAGATTGCTTTAGTATGAAACTCTGAGTCGTACTGCGGCATAGGGTACTATGTATTTTTACTAATATGTACTAAGTAACTCTCTTATTTAGTATTGACTCATTTTCTTATACCAAAGGATATATGAATGTATTTGTATGTGAACACTTATACGTACATTTATTTATATATATATTCATTTGATTATATATATAGAAAGAGAGTGAGAGAAGGAGAGGGAGAGACAAGGAGAGGGATAGAGAGATGGGAACATAGATAGATATGAACAAAATTAAATAGATAAATAGACGGACAGTTAGCCACACAGACAGACAAACAGATAGATAGATAGATAGATAGATAGATAGATAGATAGATAGATATTATTAACGATATATAAACTGGAATAACCCTACATAAAAAGACTGGGGTACTTATGTACAGTATCAGATAGATATGTATAGAATGAGATAGATAGGTAGATAGATAATGAAATATATATATATATATATATATATATATATATATATATATATATATATATATATACACATACACACATACATATATATATATATATATATATATATATATATATATCTAAAGTGAACATAAAAATCAACACTTAGAGGCGACAGTCTGTTTTATGCTAGATGCAATCGTCAGAACACTCACACACACACACACACACACACACACACACACATATATATATATATATATATATATATATATATATATATATATAGATAGATATAGATAGATAGATAGATAGATAGATAGATAGATAGATAATAATGAAATATATGTATATATATATATATATATATATATATATATATATATATAGAGAGAGGGGGAGAGAGAGAGCTAGATAGCTAGATAGGCAGATTGGGAATCACATACTAACTGGGTTAAACTTATGTAACAAGACGATTTCATAGGAATAGCATGACATAGATGTATAGATAGATACTTCTTAAATGAATGAGCTAGATAACTATATTCATATAAATTTATATAAAAAATGTAGGTGAGTTGCGCACACATATCAGTCATGGCTCGAGCAACGGCGAGGAAACACAGCGATGTCGAAACAGATCGTTCGGTCTTGTCTGCTTTATGACATTAAAGTGAAATTGTCCGCAGCCGCATTAAGTCAATGAATACGTCAAGCCTTTGGGGATAATGCTGTGTGTGAATGCTCTGCCATGCATTGGTTCCGGAAGTCGAGAGATATGGCCTCTTGGGATGAATCTAGCAGTGGCCGGCCACCGGTTCTGGATGATGAGGCCCTGAAGGCATCCGTAGAGGAGGACAGCAGCCAAGCCTGTGGTGAGCTTGCCGAATGATTCCAGGTTTCCGATGAAACAGTCATACTTCACTTCCACCACATAGGGAAGGCGTAGAAATTAAGCACAGTCGGAGGCTAACAAGCAACAACGAGTGACAGCCTATTTCTCGTTGCTTTTCCTTCAACGTACCCATATTTGATCGAGTGCTCAGCAGGGTTGGTCCTGTATAAATCTCCCAAGCGTGCCAGACAATGATTGTCACTAGGGGACCCTGTTCGGCACATCACAAGACCACCAAAACACCCAGGCAAGATCATGATCTATATCTGGTGGATTCGCCGACAAGTTATGAACTCCTTCTCAAGAACCAAACCACCACTGCGGGCCTGAACTTGCAGAAGACTTGGCAGAAAAAAAATTCCTGTCCTGATTTCGACCCTCACTGACAATGAATTTCTCACCAGTAGGTCAAATACTAATATACAAATTAAAGTCTTCACGATAAAGCTGGTATTAACAAAACGATTTTGCTGTTTTCACTGTGACTTTTTGTAATAAATATACCACACGAATTTCTATTTATGATATCTCTATTATCTATCTATATTTCTGAGATGAGATAATATGTACACTATTTACATTATTCGGACTATTGTCCTCATCTCTGTCGCCATATTTATTACAACGTTTCGGTCGTTGTACGTTTCGGCCTTCTTCAGTATCTGTCTATATTTCTGAGATGAGGCATTATGTACATTATTTACATTATTCGGACTATTGTCCTCATCTCCATCACCATATTTATTACAACGTTTCGGCCGTTGTACTCTCCGGCTTTCTTCAGGTGGTTGGAATGTCGAACTGAAACCTTTATTTCGCTCACTGGGGTAGACTGTTCTAGTTCTACGTGCCATGTTTGATGGATGTCAGTTATCAGTTATCTCTTGTTAATTCCCCTCTCCAAGTTGTCCACCGCCTTAACCGGTTATTGAACTCACAGTCTTTTTGTCTTGTCACTGGATATAACTAACGCCTTTATCCACTGTGCCATGTTTACGAAATGCTTTTGATGGCGTGAGAATTTATTATTGCTATTATAACTTCAAAAAAGGGGATATTTTAAACAATTATATATAAAACTGTATTGTTCGTTATATTGTTTTCTTTCTTTGTTTAATATAAAAATATAAAGCTTGCCATGGATCGTAATAAAGGCATTTATTTTAATGAGTTCGCCATAGGCAAGGAAACAATACCACTAAGACGCAAAAGCCTACTGGAAGCGAAAGTATATGAAATCTTTTTTTTTTGAAGGAACCACTAACCTGGTCCTAAACAGGGAAAAAGGGATAATCATCTACTATTCAAAAGACCGGAGAGGAGTGTTAATCCGATGATAGCCGACACCGGTATATAATGTCAAAAGAGAAATAAGATGTAAATTTCTTTGAGTGATCGGGACACAATGTAAGAAACTGGAAAGAGGAATTTCAAAAGAAATCACATAGAATAAAAAAAAATGTAATGGCAAACATTGCCAAGATAGAAGCAAGAAAGAAAACTGACCTCAAGAATCTCACTAAAAGAGACCCGGGAAAATTTAAAATAGTAATAAGCAAGAAAAATGGATTGATTACCCAAAGGCTTCTGTCTGTCCATTTTTACTCATCGTGGCTTGGTATGGTATTCAGCCACTTTCCAAAGGTGGCGCACGCTGGGATCGCTTAGATCAAGAAGTAACAAATTCATCCTGGTCGAAAAGCTTACGTATTCCTAGGAATCGACAGCCTGCACATATGATTTGATTATAGTGGTGCTTCGGGCAGAAACAACCACACCTTTTGAAGGGCCAAATATATAGTCCTGGTACACCGTATGCTACAAGTTCTCTAAACGTCCCCCTCCGCAGTTTTTGAATTCAGCGTTGTCCTTCTCCTAGAACGGTTGCCACCCAAGCCTATTGAAGCTAAACTGTCCTGTTATTTACCCATGGAGCAAAAGCGAAAAATGAT